AAATATGTAGCTCAGGCTGGGATTAATAGTCTAGTGTTGGGCTCTTTCTCTCCCAGTTACTTTGGCAGGTATGGCATTGGTTCAAGATTTCTTGGATATGCATTTGTTAGAGATGTATAATGTGTTATATCGGTTGTATAACAGTGCTCAATAAGATAATGGGTTGTCACAGTAAGGTTTCTATGATGCTCATATTCTTTTCCATGGTATGGAAGCCAGAAACATAATGTTTTTGAATTTTACTGCCTCATTCATTAACAGATTTTTCAAATTTCTGACGTATGGAAACTAGTACAAACTGCAATATAAAATAATAATAATAATAATAATAATAATAATAATAAAAAAGGCTTCACTTATCTAACAAATTATATTGGTGGATATGGAGAACCATCCCAGCTTGTATTTGGTGTGTGATATAGAAATGAAGAAATCAACGATGTTTCGGGATAAAGGAAGAAAACATTCCAACACTAAAGTACAAAAACATTTCACTTCTCGCTTGTTGGTGTAAAATGGAAAATGTATGAGGTTGCTAGGCTCGTAGATTTTCTCAGTACTCTCACAGATTAGTCGTTGAACTGTGTTTTCTGTCAGGCTACAATTGTAACATGTAGCACCATCTCAGTGATGGTGGAGTAACAGAACATTTGCTTACCATTTTGAAAAAATTAAACTTTGATCAGAGATTGTCACGCAATTCAACAATTTACTGTCCAGTTATAATTTAATATGAAAATTTTGACTGGTAATATTGAGGTCCTGTCCTGATTATTACATTTCATCAAGAGTTACCCAAACTGTAGTTGATCATATGATTAATCTAATTTCTGTAAGCTCCATAGTTGGAGTTGTGTTACTCTGATGATTTTGATCTATGGGAAGCAACTTGACCTTTCACATGATACTATGGTGATTCTTGATTTTCAATTGTTGATGTGCCAAACTTTTAATCAATTTTAATCAGGAAGCAGAAGGATGGAGATGTACCATCAGCTATCCTCAAGCATGTTCCTGAGTCTTTTGATGTTTATGTGGTGTCATCGAATGGACTTGTTAAAAATTCCTTGAATCCCTTGTTATCTACTGGTACATAGAAAAGCTCAGTCATTTACCTTGATCTCCTTGGTCATCTCTTTCTTCCTTTCCTAGTATAGTAGTTTCTAACTTCGAACAAGTATTTCTATTCTGAAACAGAGACTGAACTTAATACTATCAATCAACAAGAATCCATTGCGTCTTGTGCCTCGATGGATTTTCATAGCAGAGCATCATCACTTGCAGACTTTACACATCTCAATCCTCCAGCATTTTTACATGTGAATACTTCTAATCATATCAGTCCTCAGCAAAGATACATTCACAATCTAGAAGAATCGGCAGCTGTTCTGGAGGCAGTCAAGAGTAGCCATTCTTCCACTTACTCAGAACATGTGAGTTTGAACTTTTTTTAATTCTTTTTAGCAAGCTTTCTCTTGAATATTGTACTTTCTTATTCCAATATCATATTAGAGTATAATATATGTGTAACCGGAAAACGTATTAGTATGTTGAGGTAGTTTTTTTATGTCATTGAGCAGTCAGACATTCAGGTTGAAATGGGAAGATTGCAGCTAGAGTTGCAAAACACCATAACATTGTACAACCAAACATGTGAACATCTGATCCATGCCCAAAACAAGGTAAAATCTTGATCTATTTTGTTTCACCTCAAAATGAATAATTCTTGAGTGCTCTTCTTTCATACTGAAATGAACAGAGTTTTTTTATGCTGTCTGTCAGAATCAAGTTCTTGTTTATCCTAATCTGAGTTCCATTTGAAGTGACGGTAGAACATCATGAGGAGTATAGTAACTCAGCCTCTAGGGAAAAATACCTATTGCCTGACCATATTCTCGTTTACTGTTGCTATCGACATGTCAGAACATGACTCTCTGACTGTCTTTCAGGTCCAATTACTTTCCTCAAAATTCTGTGAAGAATCAAGAAGAGTGAATGCAGCCAAGGAAAGAGAAGAAAGCCTAAGGAAAATAGTTGCTGAACTGAAGAAGAAACATGTAGAAACTGAGAAAGAGGTTGAGATAGCGAGAAAGTTGCTCGCTGAAGAAGCTTGTGAGAGGCAGATAGCAGAGTCGAAGGCTCTCCAACAGTCCTTAGAAAAACAAAAAGTTGTCGATACACTACTGTCATGTGATGGAAGGTATAGGAGATTGACTAGAGAAGAAATTCAGGTGGCTACTGATTCTTTTTCTGAGTCTAAGATAATTGGTGAAGGAGGATACGGAATAGTTTACAAAGGCAACCTTGATCATACCCCTGTTGCGATCAAAGCTCTTCATCCGAATGCATCATTAAAGAAAGAGGAGTTTCTAAAAGAGGTTCTCTTTCCCATATTTTTTTGGATTTTTTGGTTATTCAAGATTTATGCATTCTTGGCCATGGCTACTTGTCATTCATAGCGCATGCACATTTTGTCTGAAACACTTCTGTAGCATTATTATCTGCACAAAATAGTACTTCTGACTTCATATCATTAATAGATTCCTCTCAGTCTCCTCCTTTTCTTTTAAAGAGCTACAGCCAAATATTTTCTGATTTTGTATATAAATGTGCTTGTATAGTACCTCACAAGATGCCTATGTTGTGCCAGTAAGTTTCACTTAGGGAACTGACGCAATGTCATTCTGGCTAAACTTCCAACTTTTGATTAATCGCGTATTCGATCATTTGTAGGTTGAGGTTCTAAGCCAGTTGCATCACCCACACATTGTTTTACTGCTCGGAGCCTCTCCAGGAAATGGCTGCCTTGTTTATGAGTATATGGAAAATGGAAGCCTGGAAGATCACATTTTCCAAGGAAAAAACAGACCTCTTCCCTGGTTTGTTCGATTCCAGATACTTTTTGAAGTGGCATCTGCTCTTGCATTCTTGCACAACTCAAAGCCTGATCCTATCGTTCATCGAGATCTAAAGCCAGGAAACATATTGTTGGACAAAAATTACGTGAGTAAAATCGGAGATGTGGGTTTAGCAAAAATTATGTCCGATATTGTTCCAGAAAGTGTTACAGAATATAGGAACTCCGTTCTTGCTGGCACCTTTGCTTACATGGATCCAGAGTATCTAAGAACTGGAACTCTGAGACCTAAGTCTGATCTGTATGCTTTTGGAATAATAACACTTCAACTATTGGCGGCTTGTCATCCTAATGGCCTTATTATGAAATTTGAAGAAGCTATAGACACTAATTCGCTCGCAAATGTACTTGATAAGTCATTTGTAGACTGGCCATTGATTGAAACAGAGGAGCTATCTAAGATGGCTCTAAAATGCTGTAAGCTTAGATGCAGAGATAGACCAGATCTTGTGACTGAAGTTCTTCCACTTCTGGAAAAACTTTCCGAATTCGCAAAGATGCATGTCAGGGTGCTGGGAAACCTTAGGGCACCTAGCCAGTACTTCTGTCCAATTCTTCAGGTAAGAACTCAAATTCGATGAGATAATCTGATAATTTTGTGAAGTGCTCTTTTGTGCAACCTTGTATCTCATTTCGCTGTCTGCTCTATTATTCTTTGCAGGAAGTAATGGAAGAGCCACATATAGCAGCCGATGGCTTTACATATGAGCACAGAGCAATAAAGGCATGGGTTGACAGACATAACATTTCACCTGTTACGAAACAGATATTGCAGCACAAGATGCTTACCCCAAACCTCACATTACACCTTGCCATACAAGATTGGAGGTCACGTTAAAAACGGCCTTTGAATTCAATAACTCTGTAAATTGTGCATATATCATAACCAAATAAGGCTTGAAGAAGCAGTTAAAGGAAAGATTTGGAAGGAAAACAGTTCATACATATTTTAGATATTGTTGGAAGGTTGTCAAGAGAATAAAAGAGAAGTGTCACTCTTCTTCATTGACATTACTTAAAAAGTGTATAGTACCGACAATTGTACTCTTGTAAACATTATATTGCTTGTGATAGTTTAGAACCCAGAAACATGTAACACTGCTTTCTTTGCATTTGGCAATCGTCCAGAAAAATGCTATTGTTTTTCAAATTCCGGGGATGAAGAAACAAACAGCATACATATAAAATCGTTCAACCTTGCGAGTCGGCTAATGTAATGTCATCAAATACAATGATGCTGAACAAGTGATACATCATTGTGGAGTCCGAAGCCTAAAGGGTAAAAAATGTTAACAAAAATTCTAAAACGGTATATGAAATTTCTTTTAAACCAAAAGGGCAAAATCGCTCGCGAAGTAGCGATTTTGTCCATTGGAAAAAACAAAATCGCTGCTATAGCAGCGATTTTGTTAAATTTAATTTGTTTTAAAAAAAATAAAATTAAAACAAAATCGCTCCCGAGGGAGCGATTTTCAATTTTCCAAAATTTTTTTATACCTTTTTAAGTAAGTCGCTGCTTATGGCAGCGACATTACCTTAATTTTTTATTTTTTTTTTGCTTTTTTATTTAAAAAAGTTTAAATGAAAAAAATATTTTTTTAAAATTACATTGCTGCAATTTTTAATTATTTCTTTTTTAATTTTTAAAAATTAAATCACTAAAAAAATGGCAGCGATTTATTTATTTATTTATTTTAAAAAAATTAATTAAAAATCATTGCTTTGGCAGCTATTTGATTTAAAAAATTGATTTAAACTTTTTTATAAAAAAAACAAAAAATATTAATTAAAAAAAATTATACACAAGTCGCTACCTAAGCAGCGACATATCAAAAAAATATTAAAAAAAAAAATTTTTATTTTGAAAATCGCTCCCGAGGGAGCGATTTTGTTATATATTTTTTTTTAAAAAAAAAAAGCAAATTTAACAAATCGCTGCTATAGCAGCGATTTTGCTTTTTTCAGTGGACAAAATCGCTACTTCGCCAGCGATTTTGCCCTTTTGGTTAAAAAGAAATTTCATATACCGTTTTGGAATTTTTGTTAACATTTTTTACCCTTTAGGCTTCGGACTCCATCATTGTGGCATAAATCTCTGCAGATGGTGTTATTTAAATAGGAGTAAACAGTACACATGTTCGCGAAAATTGTATCAACCACAGATGTTTAAATCACATAAATAGCACATGACATTGTGGGGATTGATAAGCCATAACCACTAATAGCTGAAGTGCTTCCAATAGATTCTACTTGTTGAATATCCCCTATTTATATATTCACAATAGCTGTATATTTAACTATATATAAGGATTACAAATTGGAGAGCAAGCAGTCCAGATCCTGTCAAGCATCAACTTGAGTAAATTCTAGTGCATTAGTATCAGGGTCTCGAGTGAAAATGGCCGGTCTCCCAGAGCGACTAAGAGTGTAGGGAATGCCTGAAAAGGAAAACAAAGAGCGGAATATATATCCAGTCTTTTCTTTTACCATTTTCAAGTCATAAGGTGAATGAATTACCAGCTTTATCAAGAATAGCTTTCAGCTTAGACACATCGCGAATTGCTATGCAAGTATGACGGTCTCTGCCCCCGTGCTCAGGCCTACCAGTATAAGGATCTGGATTTGGAAGCTCCATTAGATGTATCATCTCAGAACCCACCCACAACCAAGCACCTCTATAGGGAAGTTTGTCATGTGGTCTTGCCTCATTTATTTCTAGCCCTGATCAATCAATGAACTTTCAGAACTACGCAATTATGTATTTCAACTGTAATTTTCCATTTAGAAAGTGAAGTGTAATTACCAAGAATGTTCTGGTAAAAGTCTAAGGACCTCTCAAGGTTTTCACATAGTATCCCAACGTGGTGCATGCAAACAACTCCAAAATCTGCACTTAATCAAAATAATAATTCAAAATTAGACAAACAATATGCTAGAAGACCAGTTTAGCCAAACAATCTTATCTTCCCATTCAATATTTAGTGATCAAATAATTTATGTGAAAGTGTTCTGGTGTAAACCTATCGAACCATATGAAATTAAACCTTGAAATATGGTATAAATTTACCAATAAATGTGTACTCACCATGTCACCGCACGTACCCTTAAGCTGAACCATTAATAAGATTATGGTCACTCACTCACTCACTGTACATGTATCAAAATCTCGAACAAGAATATCACACCTCCAACTTCCATTTATTAAGATAGTTTGGAACTATAAACTTTTTTCGGAGTCTACATAGATTTAGGATTATAAAAGTAGGAACAGATTCACTTATTCTCTTCACACAGTAACAAAAATGGTTCTAAATTGCACGCATGACCAAAGGGGTACAAAGGATGAAATTTCATGGATCCTCAACAATAGCTATTTCTTGAAGGAAGATATAGAGGAGTATAGAGAAATACAATGAAAATTTTGACTGTGCTGCTTGAGATGAAAAAGAAAGATCACCCTTATCATCAACAGCGTCGGTGCCTACAGAATCTTTTGCCAGCATATCCATTTCCACCGATGGTTTAGCTCTCGTCATCAAACGCCGCCTGTGGCTCCATCGTGTTGAAGATGGTTGAAAAATTTTGTTTGGTATTCCACTAGTAGATACAGATAAGACACCCCCAGGGTTCAGCTGAATATATAGAGGGTTTTTTAAGAACATATCCAGAAAACCAACCAAGTGAAAGATACAATGAACAAAACGCATCAATAGTGGTACTACAGGTGAAGCTGCCTTCTATATCATTCTTGAGTCATCCATTAGTAGGAAAATACCGAGTGTCATTGGCGTATAGGATACCAAAAAGCATAATATAATGCTGTTTCAAACGAAAAACTGAAAGAAAAACAGTAAACATAATGCAATAGAATTCAATGTTTCCCATGTTGGTTTTAAAAGGTGTGAATGGAAAATCAAGAGTTGCGACTTTTATGAGGAGTTGCGACTTTTATGAAAAGTTGTGACCTTTATGAAAAAATATGACTTTAATGAAAGGTGACGGCCTTTCTGAAAGATTGTGATTTTTCCAAAGGTTTGTGACCTTTCTAGTAAGGCACAATAAGAACTTTTTCGCACTACCCTTTGTTTTCTATAAATTGAGGAATTTTCTCTCATTTTAAATATAGAATTTTTGAGTTTTTCTGCTATTACTACTAAATCTAATAATCTAAGTGTACTTTAGTGCCATTGAGTGGCTCGCTGACACCAGCGTTTTGGGAATCAATTTACTGGTGATTGAGATCATTCTATCCTGTGAGGACATATTCCAAATCAACCTCATATACTAGAGGGGAATAATTTCCTTAAGGAAACACTGTACATTCAGTGGGCTTGATCTTCTTCTTATTTTTCCAGATTCTGGTATGTGTTACAGATTTTAGATTTGAGATTTTAAATTTGTGAATTAATTTCTGTTCTTCTATTATTCATTGGTTCATTAAACTTTGGTAACTTCGTGTTTCTGCAAAATTTGTTGGAATCAGTAAGATTCTTTAAACACAGATTGACAACATTTCTTCATTAAGAAAAATAATCCGTATATCTTTTCTAATCTGTTTGTGATTCTAGTTTGTCTACTAGTTTTAATTTTCTAGTTGTGAAAATATTCTTAAACTTTGTTGTGTCTTACCAAGTTATTCAAAGTTTTGTTCCAAATATCTTAGGAATACAAGATGAACAACAATCTTAAGGAAATTATTATACTGTTAGTATTTTTTGTATTCTACTGATTCTGAGAATCTGATCATGGAAGTAGAAGATAAATGAATTACTTCTCCATAATTTGTTGTTTTGTTTAGTAAGGTCAAAGTGAGAATGTAACAGAAAAAAATTTGTGGTATTCCAGTTAAAGATTATACCAAGTAACCTTCTTATTATTTATCTAAGGAGGAAAATAGTTTCTAAGAATTAACAGTTTTGATTTGTTATCATGTGTATCATTGGAAAAAGATCTGCGACTTTTATGAAAAGTTATAACTTTATGAAAGGTGACGACCTTTCTGAAAGATTGTGACTTTTCCAAAGATTTGTGACCTTTCTAGTAAAGCACAATAAGAACCTTTTCGCATTATCCTTTGTTTTCTATAAATTGAGAGATTTCCTCTCATTTTAAATATAAAATTTTTGAACTTCTTCTACTATTACTACTAAATCTAGTATTCTAAATATACTTTACTGCCGTTAAGTGACTCACTGGCACCAGCGTTTTGGGTATCAATACACTGGTGATTGAGATCATTCTATCCTGAGAGGACATATTTCAAATCAAATCTCGGATACTAGATAGGAATAATATAAGGTGCATTCAACGGGCTTGATCTCCTTCCTGTTTTTCCAGATTCTGGTATATGTTACAAATTTTAGATTTGTGAATTAATTTTTGTTCTTCTGTTCTTCTGTTCTTCTATTATTCATTGGTTCATTAAACTTTGGTAACTTCGTGTTTCTGCAAAGTTTGTTGGAATCAGTAAGATTCTTTAAACACAGATTGACAACAATTCTTCTTTGAGAAAAATATTTCATATATTTTTTCTAATCTGTTTCTAATTCTAGTTTCTCTACTAGTTTTAATTTTCTAGTTGTGAAAATATTCTTAAACTTTGTTGTGTCTTACTAAGTTCTTCAAAGTTTTGTTCTAAATATCTTAGAAATACAAGATGAACACCATTTCATAGTCTCCAATTACATAGAAAGCATTAATTGGAACATAAAAAGCACAGAGAAAATAAGCTTTTAGATTGTCTAATCTAAATTTGGTAACAAACAAGAAGCAACATTGTTTTCTTTTCTTTTTCTCTTTCTTTAATCAAGGAGTTAATTATGATTTCCTATTCTTCAATTACAAGTGTGAATGACAACATGAGCCTCAACCTAAGATAGAATGGAGAAGAAACAGCTATTCTTGATTCTTTTTGCATCCGAGAAATCCCAATAACAATAATCCAGCCAAAGTAATAGGAATTAGGCCTAACATGATTCCAAATACAAAAACTTCAACCATTTTTCTTTGTTTGAAAGGAGAAAAATAAGAGGTATATCTATATCTAACTATACACAGGGTACAAAACTCAATGGATGATGAGCCCGCCCCTCTACCCTTCTCCGCTTAAATACTTTGTGACGTGCCTCTAACTCACACATCACTACTTTGTGACGTGCGCCTGACTCACATATCACAAGTTTATCTCTTACCACTAGACCAAAGCACTGGGGGGCCATCTAATCTGGCAATTTTCTCAGATATTGGAAAAACACCTTATAATCAATCAATGATTATTTAGCAAAGACATACGTCTATCTACCAAAGCATGGCCTATTTAATAGAGTTAAAACTATATTTTGATACAAGCCACTGCACTGAGCTTATAAGTTATAACCAATTTGCTAGTAAAAAGAGGCCTAGGGTGTTGTAGTGTCTTCCAATTGTAAAACCCAAAAATTATCTACTCCAAAGTAGAGCTTAACCTTACCTTACTATCTGATTTTTGTACTAATTATTTAATATACCTCAGCCATTTTCATTAGGGAATCCTCTTGTTCATTAACGGATAATTAATAGAACAGAATCACACCAAAAAGAAAGCGGAAGGGGCTCCATTTTGTTTAAATCTTGGGTAAGACACAAATTTTTTATCATCAAAGGAAATAAATGTCAACAGTTGAAGATGAATATGTAAATATTTACCTTGTTTTGAGGCAGAGTGAGAGGTGGGTTCAGCAGAGAAGCCATTGAAGACTGATTTTTTTTTGTTTCAATTTTGGGTTTCTGGGGCTTATATTTATTTCGCTAATAATATATGATTATGAGATGGCTCCATTTGAGTGGCTCATGATTTTCAGCCAAACTGCACCACTTGCTTTCTCTCGGGTCATGTAAAACGATATAATTTCTAAAAATTTATATCATTTGAATTAAGTATGACAATTTTTCTTTTATTTTAACATTTGAATATATCATTTTATCCTTATAAAAAATATTATAACTTTATTAGTATATAATATATTTAATACAAATATTATTTGATAATCTTTTGTTATATATTGAGTAAAGGAATAATGTATTCGTAAATTTTGAAAAATTATAATTCAAAAAACTTTTTAGATAGGAGAGCTCAAATTATTTGAAAAGCCTAACCATTTTTTGATATATTTATTTAAATTTTAATGAGGCGTTCTAAATGATTTAAATTAAAGTTAAACCAATTATCTCATTTTCTTGTCGGCTTCTTAGCGTGAGCCATACATACTTTAATTAGAAATTGATCCAAATGGAAATGATATTATATTTACCTAATAAATATTTTAGCACTTAGTAGGTTTAAGTTTAAAAAGATAAAAGAAAGATTATATATTTGTGTATGGTTAATAATTGAGCAATCCAATCAAAATAGATAATAATCAAATTGATAAAATTATATTATATTTGATTTCATTTAGTTTATTAATTAAAAAAAAATAATCAAATTAGTTTGATTAATTTTTTTTAAAAAAAATTGAGCCAAATCAAACCATGAACAAAGCATAGCCACATACATGAAGATTTTCATGTCACAATCAACATGTTATCGAATCATATAAGTTTCATCACTTTTATTTTACAAGTATACTGATTGAAGTCTGAACTACTCAACTCTAATTTAAGGATTAGATAATTTTGAAATTTAAGTATACAGTTATTTTTTTACAATTGATGATCCTTCTTTTCTTCTTCTTTTTATTTTATTTTTAAAAAAAGAAATTGAACTTTGAACTTGTAGCTTTTTTTTTAACGGATACTTTCACATATAGCCACTTAAAAATAATTAATTATTGTTCATAGCTATAGTTTGATAATTACAATTTGTAGCTACATGTTATATGGAAGAGAGATGCGAGCGAGACTGGGAGAGAGAGGGGGGGGGGGGGAAAGAGTGGCAGAAAGGTGAATTGTATATGTATATTGGTTAGATAATTGTATATTATACACATGTATTTGTATATATGGCAAGAGAGATTGGGAGAGGGAGGAGAGAGGCGAGTGAGACTAGGAGAGGGAGGAGAGAGGCGAGCGAGAGAGGGAAGAGAGTGGAAGAGAGGTGAATTGTATGTGTATATAATTGTATATTATACATATGCATTTGTATATATGGCAAGAGAGATTGGGAGAGAGAGGAGGGAGGCGAGCGAGATTGAGAGGGAGAGGCGAGCGAGAGAGGTCAGATAGTGGGAGAGACGTGAATTGTATATGTATATAGGTTAAATAATTGTATGTTATACATATTGTATTTGTATATCCTGGCGAATTATACATACTAATTATACAAACTCGAAGTCAGCCAACGTAATTAATGTATAATGTTAGTCGAGAGTGGTAATTATAGCAAACTATAACTATGATGAGTAATTAAATAGTATAAGTTTTGCTTAACCGCGTAATTTTTCTTTTTTTTTAATTACTACGTAAAAGAATAAAAAAAAAGGCCCACTTGAGTCCCGAAAAGATGTTGCCAAATCTTATTCTTGTTTTTCTTTCTTATTCTCGAATTATTTGACTTAGAACCACAACAAATAAATTATATAACAAGAGCTTAAAATTGAAACTTCAAGATACAATGTCCCTCAAGCCTAAATTCAAAATACCTAACTTTAGGATAATAAAGTCTAACCCAAGTTTAAATTTAAAATTAAAGGTAAAGACAATATTCTAAAGTTTTGAACGGTAAAATGAACTTAATATCTTGAAGTTATGAACTAAAAGATCAAAGTTCAATAAAAACGTAATCATATAAACGTTAAAACTCTCTTTCTAAATGAATATCTATAAGAAGAAGCCTATGACAAGAATTTTTGGGCTGCTCGTTGAGGATGTCATAGCGAGGCATCCCGCTACAATGATCTCACTATGGTAGGAGTATTTCCTCTATAGTAGAGGCCGCTATAATGGAGAGGGAGGGACAAAATCTCCTCACCCTTTTCCCCCTATTTTATTTTTCATTCACAAGACATTTTATGTAGTTAATATAGGTGGGAACTACTACAAAGATGATGAAAATGGTTTTAAAACAAAAACTAGCATTATTCTATGCTTATTAATGTTGGAACTAGAATACATATGCTAATAAAAAAAGGGGGGGGGGGAGTGTTTAGTGCATGCCCAAAGGGGGGGGGGGGGCAACAACCCAAAACAAGTCATAACATATCATAAAGAGGGGGTTCTAGCCGGGAGTCTCGACACCATAAGACAATTTCATGGTAGCTTTAGGATTGAGGACTCATACTCTCCTAAGGGCAGCTTAGGATTGAGGATTCTTACTCTCCTAAGGGTAGCTTGACTGTGCATGGTAAGATGCATTTCGAGGGTAGCTTGAGGTAGGTTAGTCATGGTATCTTGGGATTGAGGACTCATACTCTCCTAAGGGTAGCTAAGGATTGAGAATCACACTCCCCTAAGGATATCTTCCATTTGTATCATAGTTTATTTGTAAGGTTAGCATGACTTAGTTGGTCTAGGACTATTTCATGGTAGCTAGGATAAGACATGTATGCCTTTCCTAGAGTAACTTGGACTTGGATGTAATTGCGTCTTCTAAGGTAGGTAGTTAGACATAATATAGTTATTTTAGCAATATTATAGCATGGTCTACCCTATTGGAGGATTATTCCTTGGTAGCCTTGAATTAAGAAATAGAATACATTCATGTGTTGTGACTTGCATAGTACTAAATAGAGAATTTATATGACTATATCAAATAGTAATGAGGGACTAGTCCCAAATAGTATGTATGTATGATAGCCTAAGGTGGTACTAAGTGTGGATAGTAGTATGAGATGTTATTCATACATTGCACAAGTATGACTTGAAGCTACTTATATGTAGTATAGACTTGCTTGGGTTGTTGCTATAGTTGCCTTCCGAGATACGATTGACTTAAGATGATATTTCCTTGTCAATATGAAGTAGGCCTAGAATGACAATTATGAATAGAAAGCATGAACAGAGGGACCCCAAGAACATGCTTAGTGTGTGTGGTAGTATGATATTCTACACATGCATTGCACATGTGTGCTTTGAGGTTACGTAGGATTATAGTTCTCTTATGACATGAAAACCTAAGTCTTGACTATCGATGAGTCCACAATTTGAACATATTTAGGGATATATTTTGGTAGATTTAGTGTCATCAAATGCATATTTTGTCTCAAAAACTGATGAAAAACCTTGAGTTTCAAGTGTTTAGACTTGGAGGCAAAGCATGGACACAAGTGAGCAAAGAGGAACAAGGTAATTGAAAGAATGAAGAAAAGACACCATGAGGATCGCTTAATCCATTTGGTGAGTCTCCAAGTGGCCTTTTCTTGCCTAATGTTCTAGTGAGTTGAGCCCTGATGGAAAGGATTAAGGCAGCAATGAAAAAGAGGAGTCGGCGTGTTGTCGAGCATTCCGCGAAGCAAGACTAAAATCACCCATCCAAAATGCTAAGATGTTGAAGGCTAAAGAAAGAGGGCGTTGAAATATACGAAAGGGTTGATTGCCGAGTTGATTGGCGATCCCGACTAACAAGTTGATCGGCAATCCTGACTAACTTCGTCGAATAGTCCTTCCCAGATTTTTTTCGATAATTATAAATAAACGTTGAGATTTTTAGCTTAGTATCATACTTTTATATATTGAGACTGTAATATTCATATATTTTCCAGTTTTAGTTTTTAGAGATTTTGTGAGACATTGTTCTTGATCTTTGAAGACTTGAAGGTTTCCAACACCAAGAAAATGGAAATGGGTATTGAAGAATTTTCATTGTAGACTTTGGTAAAGATATTTTCTTATTGTACCTATTGATAAAAACACCAGTTGGTATCGATTTCAATCTCTTGACTATGTCTAGCTAAAACTCCAATTCTTGGGGTGTGATTATGTGAATATGGGTTGAATGTAATGCTGGATCTTGATAACTAATAGTGTCTTTGATTTTTTTAAATATGATTTCGTTCAATAGTTTTGTATGAACTTAATGGGATTGTAGTTGCAAATATGATTTCACCTTCGTGTCTTTGGCTTGCTCAAGAAAGAGAGGTCTTAACACCAAAACTACTGAATCAATAGCCTGTGGTTATTAGGTTGACGTATGTTTAACTCAAGGGAGTGAATCCTAAACCCTATCCGACCCTTTCAGCTCGATAAAGTGAACGGGCTAAGGTAAAGACTAGGCATAATTGTGGCTTATCGATGTTCGAGAGAAACCGATTTGATTCGGGATAAGTTGCTCGAGAGAAATTATCCCCACTAAAGTCTAGCTTAGTCACAAACTTACAGCGATTTACTATGAATAGCTTGTACCCGAATTTTTTTATTTTAGCCTATGTTCCTATCACATCCCTAGAATCTTAAACTCTCTATTCATATCTATATTTTATGTTTTAGTTTATAATTACCTAAACCCCCCTCTTTTTTAATAATTGAAACTTGTGTCACCCCCTCAAACTTTTTATGTTTTCATTCGTGAATGTATTTAGCTATGACTAGCTTGAACTAATTCATACTTAACTGTTAATTCTATCCCAACCCCTGGCTGGGTAATATTACTACTTGTGATCATTCGCTTTTAGAATTAGAAGAAGTGTCATGATATGTCAAGCCAATATGCCTAAGAATGACCAAAGATAGGTACTTATCCTTGTTTGTAGTATGGGAGTAGAGGCTATTCCATGAACATGATGTATGTCCTATTCTCGTTTATTATGTCTTATGTTGACCTATAATTATTTGATGCTTGTTGGAGATTATGCTTATGTACATGTTATTATATTTTATGCTTACATCTTATGTTGACTAGCCATTTTGAGATGCTCTTATGACGTTATG